TTTTTTTTTTTTTTTTTTACAATATTCTGCCTGAAGGTTTCTGCTCTTCTTCCATTCTGCAGCCTGCAAAATAGTTTCTTTTCATCTGTCTGTCCTGAAGAGTCTACTTACTAATCTAAATGTGGTGCTACAAATGTGTGTTGCATGTCAAGCAGTTGGGATGGGATGAGGAAGGATGAAGGTAACACCAATGAGATCTCATGGATCTTAACACTTAAAAGGAAACATCATCTTACTATTAATTACTTACAAATAGCAGTTCCAAAACTTTTAAAAGATCTTGATTACTGTATCAAATAGATTTTGATTGCTGTATCATCTGAACACAACTTCCAATCAGAAAATTTGGGGAACATTTATAAAAAAGCTTGGAAGCATCTAATATGATGAAAATAAGGTGGCCTTTTGTTTATTTTGGGGTTTTTTGCTTGTCTGTTTGGTGATTTTTAGATAAACAAAACCAAATAAGCCAAAAACACCTAATTTTAAAAAAAATTGTCTTTTTAAAATCAATGCGACAAAAATCCAGTCCAGAAGGAAATTGCAAAAAACTTTGAGCGATTAAAAAAAGAACAGTTGAAAGGGTAGTTGGAACAAAAAATATCAATTTTAAATTGAATTTTAATACTTCAAAGCACACTATTCATTTTTAAAGAAAGCTACTTGAAGCCATCAGCACTGGAAACATCACTTTCTGAAAAATAGAAGCTATTTCAGATATATATGGGACACAAACATTCTTCTCCTTTGAGGTATAGGTGCCTGGGAATAAAATCTGTTATTTATTATATAAAGGGTCAGCAGAAGCACTTACATTATTTATGAATGTTTACATTTTTCATGATGCTAAAATGGCCCTTATTTAGGGAAGTACTAAACCTGTGTGAAATATGGATTTTCTATTCTGTGAAAATTTCAAGAATTCTGCAATACGTTCACCCCTAACTAGGACAAAAGCCAAAACAGCATTTTTAAAAAGTCAATTAAATATTGAATTTTATTAAGTTCATCATGTTTCATTTTATTTTCAATTTCAATTCTTTATATGCTTTAGTTAAATAAAACAGTCATTTTGAAAAGAAAAAAATTTCTAAAAATATTAAAAATGAATATATTTGGAGGCGTTCACAGTTAGTTCTAATATTCAACTTAATCACAACTGATATGGTCTCAAAAAAGGCAATTTTGTTGAAGAAGAATTTCCATTTAAAAATCATTTAATTGCTGCTGAAAATGTATTTTTGCTTGCTGTGGGCTTCCTTAGGGCAGCATATAAATACTTTCTTAAAATTAAACAGGTTCTTATATTCAATCTTCAGTAGCAACTCCTATCCTTATGTGGGGCCCATATTAGGGATAAGTGTTATTCCTGCTCCTTATGTTTTGGGGAAGTAGAACAGTTTCTTTGTGAAATTCTTCTTGTACTGTGATTCATTATAAAACTCCAAATGACTTCAGAGGGACTAGAATTTTACTTTCCATGCCTTCAATGACACTTGACACTTCTTTCCTATGCATTATCTGCTCTCTATCACACATGCTGGGCACATCTACATGAGACATTTTACTGCATAGTAAGCTAATTTGCTGCACAGTAAACATTACCGGCTATATGTGTGGAGCAGTCAGGGCAGAGTAGACTAATTTATTGTGCTGCCAGGTAGTCATACAAGTGGTATTCAGCAGTGCAGTAAATTACTGTGCTTAAATGCACCTGTAGGTGGTGATGTCAGGATTAGTCCACTCTGGCACAAATTGAGCTAAAGTATTCAGTCACATGTATTGTACATGTAGACATGCCCACTGAAAGGAAACTGGGAGAGCTGGATTTACTTACTCTTCCGTTGGATCTTACTGTCATGGCTCCTCTCAGGCTCACTTCTGTTCTGAGGCTTTTGCCATAGTTTGCTTTCCTAGGCCTATAATTTACCTGAAATCTAGAGAATGCTTGCAGGATCTGTCATAATGCATTTTTGCAGGTGTGGTGCACTGCAGACTGGAAGTATGGGCAAATTCGTAAGTGAAGCCTTTATGAATAAAGTTTTGCATCTTTGCTATTTCATTTTAGATAGTCTTGTATTCCAGATAACTGATCAGTTATATATAGCTTTGTATGCAGATAAAATATAGCTTCTTTATTGGTAACCTTAAAAACTATGGATTTTAATTTTATTAGCTGCAGTGACAATATCTGTATATTGAATTGATTTAACTATATTACTTTTCAAAATACTATTTTGGGGTCAATCATATCTTAAATTTGGCTTTCTAATTACTTATTGATTTGTTATCCTAGCAAATACACATCCATGCATATTCTGCTTGACTTGCTAAGCTTTCATTTGAAAAGGCTTGCATAAAAGTGAATGTTAAATCAAAGAGCTTTGTCAAGACTAATGTATCCTTAGAACAGAACAAGCGAAGCAAACAATCTTCTGCTGTCATCCAATTTATGTATTTGGATAAGGAAAAACTGTCTTAAATTATATTTGAATTCCACATTCATGCCACCCAGCCTTGGCAATCTTCTGTTTGTCAGGCATCTTCAAAAGGAGTCTGATTGCTTTATTGATTCTCTCCATAGCAATCCTTTGGCTATACCGATTGCCAAACAAGACAGTTTGCTGGAGAAAGACACCATGTTCAAAGATGCAACAAAAGGTTTATGCAAGCAGCAGTCTCAAGACAATGCATCAGACAGTGTCCCAGTAAATGGTACGACCAAACTTGAACAGGTAACATGTTACTTTTCTTACAACCTGTGTAAATACCTCAGACTGTAAATTGTAAATCTGATGAGTATGAAAACAGAATAATCTTCTACATAAGAATATAACTGAGTCCATGTAATAATTCAAGGTACAGTCATTTTCCAATACTAATTCCTAAAATAACGTTGCAGTTACAAGACTTATGGGTCTTTTTTGGGGGGTTTTTTTCTTTATAACTAAATGTGTTGGAACCAGCCCATGTGGGATACCACCTCCTTCTCTGCAGTATACTGATATGCAGTTGTGATTGAGAGATTGGCTGATGCTAAATGGTCCTCAGAATGAGAGAATAGTGAGCTAGTAGAATATTCTCATTAAGGGTCTCAGGATTCTGGTATGTTTTTTTGTTCACAGAGCTCAAAACAGATCTTACTTTTGAGGTGTACTTGAGGGCCCATTTTCTTTTATAAGAGACAGCAGAACTAAGGTACTGGCTAACCACATAGGGAGTATTAATTTGTGATTATAAACAAATACATTGTAGAGCTAGCAAACTGTCTGGACTGTTATTTGATGTGTAATTTTAAATAATTGGTCGGATGCCAGGAGCCTCCTTATAACTGAGACCCATATGCTCCCATAGTATATATAGTAACGGAAAAAAATAATGTACACAATAATGTCCTTGAAATAACAATGTACACACAATCCAACAAACAAATGAGGCTTCTATGCTGATAAGCTTATAGTTCTACATTGATCCCAAAAAGGGAGCCTTCTAGCTGGGCTATATCGTTTGTGAAGTCACATTGACATCACTGTGACTGTAAATGAAGGGTCAGCCTGCATAGGAACTGAGTGACGAGGACTCTCTTGTGATATACGCAGAAGATGATTTCAAACACATATAGAAGGCCATCCCAAATTGAGAGAATGTTTCATGAAGAAGGCAGGAATCAGAAAGCAAGAGAACAAAAGCAGCAGTTAAAAATAGTTAGGAAAGCAAATCTCTGAAGAGTTTTAGGGTGTGAGCAAACATTTATGGAACCTGGTTAAGGTTTAAGCAGCATATGCTGATGCTGGGAGTGGTGTGCACAGCCTGAGGTGGGAGATGGGCTGACAGGAAGGCTGGGGGTGCTAGCAGTACATGGTGGAGAGGGGCTGGCGGGGCTGGGCCCAGGGGACATGGTGGGTCCAGGGTTTGGGGTTGCTGGCTCCATAAAGTGGGGGGCTGCCTAGTCCAAGAGTTGCTGTCATGGGGCTAAAATTCAGTTACGTCAAGGTAGGAGTGTAGGGATATCACAGCATTGGGGCTGGGGTGAGTGGCTGGGCTTTTCCAGCCCTAGTCTGTGCCTGAATGCATGTAGACATTTACTAGATCTGGATAATCCATTTTGGATTGTGCTAACCCAGGTTGATCTAAAGTTAGTGCATGATTTTTGGATGATTTAAGCCCTGCAAACGTCTTTTGCAGGGCCAGGCATTTAGATCAATCTAACCTTGTCAAATGTAATTCTTGTACATGCTTTTAAGCAATAAGATGGTAGAGCTTGAATCTAATGTAGTGAAATGCCAGTAAAGAACTTTGAAGAGCTGTATTTGGTATTTGCAGAGAATAAACCTGTATTTTAGCAATCAAGCATGACTAGCCTTTTTTTTTTTAAAGAAGGAACTTCTTTTGTGATATGATTGGATTGGATGACAGGATTCTTTTGTATAGCTGAACTATTTTTGCTGGGAGAAATGCTAATATTATTATTATTTTGTGCTTGTAAATATTTCCCAATATCTCCTAGCACCTCTACAGACTTCCCAGGAAGTCACACAAATGTGATTGCTTGTATACATAGCACAGTCCAAATCCTGCCTCCTCTTCTATGTATGTGAATTCAGCCCTGTGCTGATGAAAACACAAGACCTAGTTGCCAGATAACTTCCACACAAATCTTATTTTGATGGCTTTACATGAGGCTGATGCCAGGATTGACTGGGCTGTGAGCAGTCACTTATCAAGTTACTATAGGCAGGCTGAGGTCACACCAGGTATCTTTTGCAGTCTGAGTCATCAGGCCAAGGACTGAGGTGGTACCATGGTTAGAGAAGATGGTAGATCAGAGTTGGAAGGTTGAAACGAGGCAGGGACAGGGACTGTGATGAGCAAGGATCCAGGTTTTCCATTTCCCATGGAAAAATGGAGTAAAATGCGGATTTCTCCCCTTACCGGAATAAAACATGGATTTTTTATTTTAGCAGAGAAACCCACAGATTTTGCAGTTTTCAATGAGCCCTCTGCAAGCTGGCAGAGTTCCAGCCTGCAGGGGACTGTGAGGGAGAGGAAGGACAGCAGTCAGGGAGGGGGTGCCATGTGTATATGCATATGGCCCCAGGCAGCCTGGAGAGCAGCTCCTGCAGGTAAGTTGGGGGAAAGGGGAGTGAAGCCCTCATAGGGAGAGATGGAGGGAGTTGGGCAGGGCTGAGGCTGCTGCCCAGTTGGGCAGTGTGTGGGACTTGGGGATCGGGGCTGCAA